GGAGCAAGTTCCAGCGCGAGTTGCTTTGGAAGAGATTAAGCCTCGATTAGAAGATCCACCCTGATGACGAGCTCGTCTGGTGCACACGAGGTTTCTCTGTCGATACAAAGCGATTAGCTGCTGTTTTAATTTGTTGATCATTTGTGGTTCTGGTTGAAAGGAGAGCTGCTCTGAGCCGCCGTGGGCTCCTGGTTCCTGGAGATGCACTTCAACGTGAAAGTGTTCCTTTTTTTTTTTTTTGTTCTTTCCACAGACGCAGAAGCGCTGCAGATGAAGATGGCGCTGGAGTCCCTGGCGTCGGCCAACGACGTGAAGGTACGGCGCGGCGCTGTGCTCGTCGCCTTGACTTATTTCAAGTAGTCGTAACCAGAAGTGTTTGTCATCAGGAGCAACGGATAAAGCAGCTGGAAGAGTCGCTCACAAAGTGCAGGAACGGGCCGGAGCTGATCCAAGGTCAGTCTGTCCAGAGAGCGTTTAGTGTCTTCGGCCTGAAAGTCTCCGTTACATTTCTGATGCCTCGAACATCCGCTCTGAAGTTCAACTCCTTCTATTCGCTAGAGAGATACGTGTGTATATATAATTCAGTTTTCATCCCCGGTGGCTCTGCTGACTGTCCCTCAGAGAAGTTTAAGGAAGACGACTACGCCGATATCCCCGACGACCCCTCGCTGTCCGAGGAGGGGCATCGGGTCGCGCCGGACGGGGGGGCAGGAAGAAGCTCCAGCGAGGTAAACGCAATGCTACACCGGATGAAAGCCAGACTGGAGACTTCCGCTTCTCCAGCGTAGACCTTCGGTTTCTCGCAGGGATGCGGAGCGTCCGTCTGCGTTGTTGTTTGTTTGGCTTAACGGCGTTTCTCTCCCTGTCAGTCCGTCCCGTGCATAGCGGTGCTCTCTGAGATGAATGACCTGGACAGAGAGCGGGTCCAGGCAGCCGGGAGGTAAAACGCTGCCGTCCCCACTTAATCACTGCTTGCTTCATGTCATCGAACCCGCTTCCTCGCTGCTCCACTTTCTCCACAAGGAAACGAATTACTCAAAATATGAATTAATTCCAGCAGATAAAACTACTCTGACATATAAGAACTCTGTGTATCTGATAATGAGCCGCCATCATGCTCAGTAGATGAGATGAATCCTCGGCGCTGCAAAGGATTGTGGGTCAGAAAGGCACTGCTTTTTAAACTGCAGACTTATTATTATAAGGGACCTACAAAATGTTTCTCCTGAGGAGAGCGATTGAATCTGTTAAATTATTTAATTACATTTCCATACAAACGCTTTATTTGAGTAGATTTGAAACCAGTGATCTGATGTTTGATGATGCGTCTGTCTGCAAACTGACCGTATTCTGCGGTTCTTGATGCTCAGGAGGTTTTTAGGTCAACACTTTTTGTTATTTCAGTTCCTCCGACTCCCCACAGCCGAGCAGCTCGGCCACAACCAGCAGCGGCGAGCCGGTAAGAGCCGCTGATGTGGACACGTTGACCACAGGGCGCGTCGTAGGACGTTGTCCTGCTCTGACACCTAGTGGTTCAATGGCGCCGCTACCTCTTTTTTCTCTCCGCAGGTCAACACCAAAGCGGGACCTGCGTCCTCGTCTCCTCCCCGAGCGAGTGAGGGGAGCTTTGGCACCAAGAAGGGCCGCGCTTCGTTCGGCCGCGGCTTCTTCAAGCTGCGCGGAGGGAAGCAGGCAGCCAGCTCCCCCAACCTGGGTGATTGTGAGCCGCTGATAGCCGGAGAATTCAGCAAATGTCTTTCTGTGTTTTGACGCTGATCCCGTTGTTTCTCTCGCGGTTCTGTAAATTGAGACGATCGCACCCGGAGGGCCAGTTGGTGCGATAGAGCGGTACGGCAGCGCCGGATTATACAGCTGGATGTCACTCTGAGGTCTGATGGTCACACGCTGTCGTAGCCTCCAATCAATAGTTCCCGACCTCAACGACTAGTAACGATGTTCTGTTTCGTCTGAAACAATTCAGGTGTTAGAAACTACTCATTTTTGAACAAGAAAAGCTGCTTCTAGAATTCCTCTCTGTCCACGATCTCACTCATCCAGCTGTCTCTTATCCATGACCTCAAAACATCTGCAATGAAGACCTTCTGTGGGTTCTTCACCGTTTAGTGAGCTGCGTTGTAACCGTTTGCTCCTCTCTCGCGTGGCCGGTAGAGATGCAGTGAACTCTGAATGTGGTCCAGCTGCGTATGTCACGTTTCTAAACGCGTGGTGACCTTCACAGCGGACGCGGAGCGCAGCGCCACGGAGCACCTGGACTTGGCCGGCGTTCCCCCTCGACAGTCCCGCGGCGGATCCCTTCTGCCGTCCTCCCCCGAAACCAAAAAGAAGTCCAAAGGCTTCAGGAGGTTCTTCGGCAGGTAACGTGCAGCCGCCTCGGCCCGCCTCACGCGGCGATTCCTCTGCTCACTCGTCGCGTGCCGCTCCCGCAGACTGAAGAGGAGCCACTCCAGCTCCTTCAACCTGGACGACGAGGCGCAGACGGAGTTCAGGAGGGGGGGGGTCCGAGCCACGGCCGGCCCTCGACTCGGCTGGTCGCGAGACTCCAAACACAAGTAGGGTTTCGGCGCCGCGGTCGACTCTGTGCGGCTCGCCGAGGGGCCGCCGTCGTTTCCGTAGTGACGAGCGTTCCCTCTGTGCCTCCCTCAGCGTGGTCGAGGTTCCTTTCTCGCAGTGGAGCAGAGAGGACGTGTGCGCGTGGCTGCACGAGCAGGGCCTCGGGTCCTACGTGGCTCAGGGGCCCAGCTGGATCAAGTCGGGACAAACGCTACTGAGGGCATCGCAGCATGACCTGGAGAAGGTGGGATTCTGGGTCTTGGTTATTGTTACGCTTCAAACTACAAAGAAGACGCGCATGCAAGAGGAGTTTCCTGCCCGTTGACGTTGGCGCTCTGTTTGCCCCATCAGGAGCTGTGCATGAAGCACCCTCTCCACAGGAAGAAGCTGCAGCTGGCTCTGCAGGCTCTCGGGTCAGAGGAGGAAGACCTCAAAGGCCGACTGGACCACAACTGGGTGACCAGTGAGTGCTGCCACACACACACACGGCCGTGTTTCCGCCGCTGCTCTGTGATCCACGAGGGAAATGTGTGCGTTTCAGGGTGGCTGGATGACATCGGCCTCCCGCAGTACAAGAGTCCCTTCGACGAGGCGCGTGTGGACGGCTGCATGCTGCACTACATGACGGTGGTGAGCGGAGAACCTTCTGAAGCAGCTCTGCCGTTAAGGCTCCTCTGTTTCCCGATCAGTTCTTTAAACGTGCCGGACTCTCGTTTCGCAGGACGACCTGCTGTCTCTGAAGGTGGGCAGCGTGCTCCATCACCTCAGCATCAAGAGGGCCATTCAGGTCCTCCGCCTCAACTGCTACGAACCCAACTGTCTGCGGCGACGGCCCTCTGACGAGGTATCGCGCGGGAAGTCCCGCCCTCTTCCCTTTTTGGGTGGTTTGTTTTTCTTTTTTTACCTAAAATTCTCCTGTCGTGGTGCAGAACAACATGACGCCGGCAGAGATCTCCCAGTGGACCAACCACCGAGTGATGGAGTGGCTGCGCTCTGTGGATCTAGCGGAATACGCGCCCAACCTGAGAGGCAGCGGCGTTCATGGAGGACTGATGGTGAGAGGGTGCAATAATAACAATAATAATAATTAACGGTGTGATCTTTCGGACGACAACCCTGTCCTCTAATGTGTGCAGGTGCTGGAGCCTCGCTTCAACGTGGAAGCGCTCGCCCTCCTGCTCAACATCCCGCCCAACAAAACGCTGCTGAGACGCCACCTGGCGACGCATTTCCACCTGCTGGTCGGCTCCGAGGCGCAGCGGCTCAAACAGGAGTGCCTGGAAAACCCGGACTACGTCGTGCTGAGCGCCACCGCCAAAGTCAAGGTAGCCGGACACGAACGCATCCCACCGATGAAGCCCGCTCCAATTGTGTCATTCAAAAGTACCAATTATATTTTCTTAGAAACGATATCTGCGGTCCGTGAGAACACAAATAATATATGTGGTGCCTGGTTAGCGGTTTCCAGTTTTTATGCTAAGCTAAACTCTGAAAACTCGTCTGTTCGAGCCATCAAATGTCAAACCGCCGATGTTCCTCCTGCAGCCTCGCCGCTTGTCCTTCGGTGGGTTCGGCACTCTGAGGAAGAAACGTCCGGAAGACGCCGCCGAGTACGTCTGCCCCATGAACGTGGAAATGCCTCGAAGCAGCAGCTTCCAGACGGGCGTCCGGATGTACGAGGAACACCTGGAACACCTGGAGCAGGTACGCAGACGGCGTCTCGCGGAAAAAAACCATCAAGAACGCGCAGCTGTTTGTCTCCGTCTCGAGCGTCCGTTTGTTTTACGTGTTTTGGCAGATGGAAGACTCCGAAGGCACCGTGAGACAGATTGGAGAATTCTCTGAGGAAATCAACAATCTGACCGTGAGACCCGCGATGATAAAACGGGGAGCAGGTTTACAAAGCGACCGCTGGATGATTTGAGTCTCTTGTCTTCTGTTCCAGAGCATGCTGAAGGACGACGAGTCGTTTCATGAGATTTCTGTCGACGCAGCAGGAAGTGACAACGTGTTTGATTGAGACTTTGTGCCAACAGCTTTCATGACCCTATAGATATTTATTAAGGCTGTCAAATATAATGCATGCATTGTTTGTACCTCGAGAAGTTTCAAGATTACAGCAAACATTTACTGTATCGAGCGACACTGAGATCTGAGTCTTCTGCTAATTTAAACTCCAGTTCTGTGGTCAAAACTGATCAATGGCAGAGGGAATCACACCCAAACTATCTGCATGGTTTCATTGAGTAAGCTCATAAATGCTTGAGCCCCGTCTCCATGCTAAGCCAATAAACATCTGGCTTTAGCGCTCTACCTAACAAGTTGTATTGATCTTGTTTTACTTCAAATTGCATGACTGAAAGCAAATATTTCAAACCAAAGTCCATGTTTTTAAATGTTTTTGCTAATAAAGGTTGCAAGGAATAGTCTACTTTATGTATTTTTTTTATTGCATATCCAAACAATCACCAAGAACATGTTTTAGCAAAATAATGACGATGGAGGGCAGTTATATCCAACACTGGCAGCAGCAATAAAGGAACAAATGGTTGCAACTCTTAAATGATGCATAAAAAAAAAAAAAGCTTTGCCAGTGTGAAGGCACTTGGACACTTCAGGCTGTCCTCCCGCTCTCTGGGACACATGAATTGGTCCATGCTGTAGCATGATGATTACATCGTAGCATAAATATCGTATACAAAGTGCAATACTCTCAGGGTGGAGCCACCTTCACGTCTAGAAGGTGAACCTGCGGCTGTTGGAGTGGCCGATTTTGTCCAGGTTGGGGTTGCAGGCGAACTGGATCATGGGCGGCGGCCCGCACATCAGGATGAGGGTGTCGTCATCGGCGGGGGGCAGGTGTTCCCTCACCATGTCTTCACTGATGAAGCCCTGGCTGTACTCCCAGTCTGAAAGTACCAAGAGTTATTTATGGAAAACTATACTTAATACACGGGAAGTCAGGGGGACAAACAAAAGTCGTCCTCTGACGTCGGCAGAAGTGACCTCACCTTCGGGCGCGCTGTCCAGGGTGAACCACAGCTTGAAGCGGTCCGGGTGGTTGACCTGGATCTCTTCCAATTCAGGCCGCAGCAAGATGTCTTTCTCCGTCTGCGACGGGGACGAGAGGCTCAGCGTCAACCGCTTCTCCGCAATCGTACAGGAAAAACAACTTCATCGCGGGTCCCTGGTGGAACTGACCTGGTTGGCAAACAGCAGGTAACAGACCGTCTGGTCCTGCGGATCCTTCATCACGGCTGTGATGAGCTGCAGCATGGGAGTGATCCCTGCGAGAAGCAACGCGGAGACGCTCACTTCACACACAAACGACGCGCTTGTGTCCAAAGAGTAATTCTCTAGAACATGTGACTAAAATCTGCAATAATGAAAATTGAAGTTTGGTCTGCTTCACGGATGAAGACACACAGGGTCACGTTCCTTCTGATGAGACGAGATTGGGAGGAAGTAACCGACTGTTTAAGGACCTCGTCCACGACACTTTACAAGTCTCGCTTACCGGTCCCTCCGGCGATCATGCCGACACGTTTAGCCGTCTTGGTTTCAGTCGGGGACTTTTTATCTGGTTGAATGTCGAAAACACCTGTGGATGAAATACATTTTTTTTTTTTAAAAGACCGTCAGATCCAGCAGCAGAAGTTCAGTCACAACACCTGCAGCTGGTCAGGTGACGCAGCTCACCTTTGCCTCTGTAGACGAGGAGGCCGCTGGGTCCTCTGAAGTCGATGGTGTCGTTGATCCTGAGGCTCTCCAAGTACTGACTCATCTTCCCTCCCTCCGGGAATTTAGGGTTGACATCTTTAAAGTAAATCTGTTGACAGCGGACGGGAAAAGAAAGCGATTTAGGAAAAATGAAATAAAAACACCAGGTGTGCGCGTCGACTCGCTGTACCTTCACCACCAAGTCCACGAAGCCTTTGTCGTCGTCGCTGGACACCGGCGTGTACGGACGGACCACCAGCTTCCCGTCTATTCGCGCAGACAAATAGATGTGCTGCCCTGGAGACGATAAAATAAAACAACGCAGCTTTACTCACGTTCATAATACTATGCAGCTTTATTCAAAGCGGTGAGTTACTACTTTATGGTCCGCTCCTTCGGACAATAAGGTTTTAATTCCTTTGCTAAATGTTTTGTCTTTGTGTTCTTGCACGTTCCTCTCACTTTTGAGGTTGCTGATTGTAACACAGAAACAGAAGTCCCTCTCATACCGATGTGATTAATGGACCGGTTGGATACTGACCGATGGGCAGACCCAGGATGTGTTCGGGGGACGGAAGGGCGAAGCGGAACTTCCTGGTGTCGTGACTCACAATCTGCACATCAAAAACACACGAGTTTAATCAGTAAGTGCGGAAGTCCTTGAACGCACCAGTCGCGTTCGCAAACAGGTGATTTTGTAGGAGGTGTTTCAGATCAGCAGCCAATGGCAGTTCTGGCACGTTTGCACGAATAGTTTTAGAGTTTGTAAAACATCGTTCCACCTCGGTACCTGTTTGTCCAGCAGCCGCAGGGCGTACTTTATGTTGGGGTCCTCCAAAGTGAGCGCGGGTCTCTTCTTGGAGAAGAGAAGTCGGAGGATCAAGTTCACGATGCTGTCGAAGCCACCTCGGATCAACTGCGATAGAGCAACAACAAAAAAAAAGGGGGTCGTGAAGAGGAGGAGAATGAGCACCGTGCTAGCATTAGCTAGCTGACGTTCCGAGGCTGCAGCGGGGCGTTGTCCCACTCGAGTCAAGCCGTGTTTCTTTAATCCACAACGGGAGCGATGAGTCACCGCCGCCTGTGTGCTCGGCCCCGACTGCTCGGTTAGGAGAACTAACTTAACGTTACACGGTAGCTGCCGTTAGCTACGGTTAGCCTAAGCGAACGCCGCGGAATTAGCAGAAACTAACGCAACGGGTCAACTTCACACTAAGTTGTACTCACGCCAATGATGTAGGACAGCATTTTCTGTCTGTTTTTGGTAACCGCGAGGTCTTTTAAAGATGCAGAAAGAAGCACCAGATGAGTTTAGTGCAACTGCGACTGCAGTACGAGCTGTCAGAGTCAAAGACGTCAAGCGTCTGTTGGCTAGCGGATGTGAGCTCACACGTCACTGTTCCCTGACAAATAAAAGCACTCACTCGTCAAAAGAAGAAGCGGACATTTATTTAAATCACACAGAGAAAGCCTCTAGCACCACATACTATATTTGATGACAGGTATGATGCCGTTTATGTTTGTTTTATTTTTGTTTACCCTGAAACAACACGGACTTTTTCAACTGATAAACACAACTTCCGGTGTGACGATGGCTAACGCTAGCTAACCTGTTGAAGCTACATCGCCCCTCTGCACAAGGCAGGCCTGGATTTTCACAATAAAACCAATAAATAAATACAAAGGAAATGCGTGGATTTATTAGAATAAAAGTCCACAATTATCATGACAAAAAAACGAGTGCGTGAAGAGTTCTGCGAGGTCGGACATATGGGCTAGATTACAGCTCCACAGCTAAGATTTACATAAAAATGCATTTTATATTTAAGGCTATCATAGAGCGTCTAAAAGGAATCATTCTTCATTCTTCATATTTGGTTTTGAGGTTTTAAAAGGTTTATCATGAAGCATCGTTTCAAGCATACGTTTAAAATAATATAGAATTAAAAAGATTATTATATATCAGTAGTTTGACGCCACAGCTTTGCATATTACAGATTCTCTTCAGCCATGTCTGTTTACTCAAACCTACTGAACCTTACTCAAATCCATTCCAGGGAAACCAAACTTGTCAACCTATTTTGGAGAAATGTGTTGGTAGAGCCTCATCCATTAAACATGAAGTGTGTTTCAAAATTTAACTCAGAGAAAACCAAACATTACGATGCTTTAGCAAAGAAGCTGACAATAATATATTATTAAACAATAGAAACTACATTTTAGTGTCATTATTTACTGAGTCCCCGGGGTGCTCTCACCATCGATTTCCCTCTGAGCCTTAAATCAACGTGACGTCATCCATTAGGTGGGAGGACGAAGGTGTCCCTGTCCTCTGGCTCGGGTTGACATCAGGGAATATTCACTAATCGAAATTCATCTGTGTATAAAACGGAAAACAATAAAAAGTTGTCGTCGTTGTTGTTGTCGTGTCCTCCAGGTGGCAGTAGTGACCAGGCTAAACTGCAGGTATGGAGGATTCAGGACAAAGTGATCACAAGCAAACATCATTAAAAGTAGAATTGGTCATGCAGACCTTCCTTGTTCCCGTTTGTTTCTGGAGCAGTGGCTCATTCTTCAATACTGACCCTGTTAGAGGAGTGAAGCTCGACGTTGTTACTGAAGCTGCTATTAGACGCCGTCGCAGCGTCTCAAAGGACGACACACAGCTGAAAACACGACATGACAGGCTTCTGTATCAACAGGAAATAAAACATTTTTATTGATCATTTGTGTATATGAAGTTATATAACAACAGTCAGAAAACTCCACAGAGTGAATCACCACACAAAAGTGAAACAAAACTGCAAAACACCTCGTCAAAAATGAAGGTTATACACAGCAAATATAACTGTGTGAGCAGAAAAAAACAAACACCCCAAACAGTTCTACGAGATCACAGAGAAAAGTTCCACGCACAAAATACTCAAGCAGGCGGTTGATGTGCACAAAGGCAACTAGGATCTTTCCACAGCATCAGATTCTAATACTCTACACGGCGCCGCGGCTTCTTGTCACAGGCTTATTTTACCAGAGAAGGATTTGGGGTTTGATTTTGCGTGCACACTTTAATAACAACAACAAGAGGAGCGTTGCGTTGCAGGTGATGGCTTTGTGTTGTTGTTGTTGTTGTTGTTTTTCCAGCACACATCGCAATCCGATGAGTTCTGCAACGCCGCCTGTTACTGAGTTCCCTGGTACGTTGATACATTAGTTATTTCTGTTACGGCTCCGCTTTGACCTTTGAAAACCTCGTGGTCCAGATATCAGATCGCCACGGTCATTTCTACGAAGACGCTTCCTTGTTTACATCGTTTTCCTTTTAAATCTGAAGCTGTTCTGGAATTCACGAATCTACGAAAATTTAAAACACGTCCAATAGAACGAGGGGCCGAGAATGCAGCTGAATTAAAGTATATTCGGTGATGTTGGAATGCAATCAGGCGGCAGATTTGACCCCAAAGGGTTGTTTAAAAAAATCTACTGGAAAGAAATATGAACAGAGGGACATTTGTCTTTTTTACAACAGAAAGTGCAAAGTACATCTAATCTCACACCGACACAGTCCAAACTGTACATTCAGAGCTTTCCTCTCAAATATAAAAGGGGCAGTTAAGGGATAAAAGGTCCACAATGAAAATGCTGATGAGATATATGGACAATAGATGGGGAAATTATATTTGCAGCTGAATCATCCTCATCATGTCACTTAATATTTATTCGATATACATTGTTTGACACAAATATGTAAATATGTACACAGCATTTTAAGGGGACATTTAAATGTAGAATCTTGTTTGGTACCCAACTAATACTCCCTGAAACTTCTGATGCTGGAACTGTGTGCAAGAACAAAAGAACAAACCCGCGAAAAAAGGGGGAGGGGCCTTACACAGAGGTCGACGGGCGGCGGCGGCGGGGGGGTCGAGCCCTGACCTGTAAGCTCCGTCCTCAAGGGTCACAACCTTTCCGTTTGCTTTTGTTTTCTCCGCCACGGGGATGAAGGAACGAGTATTGCACAGTGCTCGACGAAATGCTGCGTTTGAAATGAGCCACTCGCGCCGGATCGAAAAGGCCTTCCTCTGCGGGAGGGAGCGAGGGAGCGAGGGAGGGAGCGAGGGAGGGAACGAGGGAGCGAGGGACACAACGGCGGCAAACGCTACGACATCACTACGGGACGAACCGGCCTGGCTACCTACTGATAAGTCTACACACCTCTAAGCACGCACGCCGGTCACAGGGAGACACCAAGCGGTCCTCGCGGACGCCGATGGGATGACGAGTAGCTTTTTCATAATAGCGCTATCGACCACACAATAACATTGAAAACGTTTAGAAAGTTCCTCCGGAAAGCCGACGTCCAGTATATGCAAGAGGTTCCTCCGGGACGAGAGGCCCGGAACGCGCCCCTGCTGCTAATCGGACCCCTAGCGGGGGACGCGGCGGAGCCCCCCCGCGGACCAGGAGCTGCACGCTCACGTCTCAATGTCGACAAGAAGAAACAAAAACTACGTCACAGCCGTCGGCCGAAACTTGATTTGTCGTCATTGCTTTCTTGCTTTTTCATTTTTTTTTTTTTTTTAGTTAAGACGATGGAGTCGGTGAATTTCCGGCTCCCCCCCCACACACACACACAAAAAAAGAGAAGTCCACAAGCTAGTTCAAAGACACGCAGTGCAAAACAGAAGCCACGTACAGGTTAGAATTGGCAGTAAAACATGGCTGGATCTATTGTCACTGTGAGAAGGCAAAGCAAAGACGGCGTTGCCACTAAACCCAAGTGTGCGTGTGCAGGAACGGAGGCGCTGCACACAAGTCGCCTCTGCAAATGGCAGTGATTATAACTGGCGTCCTCTCCTCTGATTGAAGGCAAAAGGGGGTTTGTATCAGAAGAGGCGCCCCCCCCCCCCCCCCCCGGCGTCAGGAGATCTCCCCCCCTCGTCCCCGGGCCTTTAATAAAGATTTAGTAAAAAAAATCATGCAGCTTACGAAAAATAGTCAAGATGTTGAATTACTCTAAAAAATAGTCCTCCCCCCCCCTTTCTTTACTCCGTCCCGAGGATCGGACCCCCGGCCTAAATGCGGAATACTTCCAACAACGACGAGGCCGTTCAAAGTAAACGTTAAGAACATGTCGTTAAACGAGCGTAAAGACACAATGGACGCAGCTTGGTGCTTTTTTTTCACAAGGGTTGTTTGTTTTTTAAGAGTCTTTTTTCGGAGGCAATATTTTCCGTTTTGGAAAAAGGAAAAGAGCCGGTTTGAGCGAACGAGGGCCTTCGAAAGGCTGAACTGCTCCACTTACTGGACAACGTAAACGCTCTTAGTTTGCATGGACTCATTGAGCAATAAGTACAAAAAGTAGTAAGAAATCATGTGCTTGTCTAATCTCCAGCAGCATCGTTTCCCCTCACAACCACGCTGGTTAATGGCCTTTTATTTTGAAGTTTCTTTGCTGAACTTAAGAACATTGTCTTATATAATATGAATATATTTCCACTAGTGTCTTGCAGGTTGGAATGCTCCTTTTTTTCTCTGGAATGCAATAAGGTAAGAAGGTAGAATTTTCAAATCCTGGGATATATAATATTGGCTTTCCTCTATATCTGCATTTACATCATTTAAAATAGAACATCTTATTAAAAACACCGAGATATCCACAGATTAGGAAACAGGTAACAACATACAAACACGTAAACTAGAAACCATTTTTGTCTGCATACTTATATACACAACTGTGGCACAATAAACGCTTCCTATACACATCGTATTGCTTAAAAGAAGAGGGCGTCTGGTCGGGACGGCGAGGAGGTGAGAAACAAACCGCCGAATCAGAAGAAAGACACTAAAGAGAAAGCGAGTGAAGAAGTGATTGTAAAAAAGCAGACGTTTGAACAATTGGAACTGGACGAGACAGAGTGTGTGTGTGTGTGTGTGTGTGTGGGGGGGGGTTACCATGGACGGACCCATATATCACTGAGGTATTTACACATACTGGCTAAAGAGTACTACAAGGCAGGCGCTGAAAACGCCTATTTCTTGGTGGACAGCTGGGCGTCCACCTCCTCCTCGGGCTTCAGCACGTGCCACTGGGCGATGGGTCTCCGCGGGTTGGCCAGCATGTCGGACCAGTGGCGCAGCTCCGTCCCCGAGCTGTTCAGGCCCACAAAGACCTTCCCGATGGCGTCGTTCTTGCCGATCTTGTCATAGTCCAGGACAGTTATAACAACTTGCACTTTCTGCGGAGGAGAGAGGACGAGGGAGAGAAATGGGCTCATTCAAAGAGGCGCTGAGTAGAGAATATGAATCGGCGCACAAAGGGTCCGGGTGGAGTTAGATGGGCGGCGGTTAATCAGCGCTGACCAGAAGGTTTCGCTCCGCTGATTCTAATCGATTCACCGATCAAACAGCTCAGTAGCTCCGCTGCGTGGTGCAGACATGAGACATCAATTATTCTAAATGGCGTCCCTGAGGTCTATGGAGCTGATCGCGTGTGTGCTCGCTGAGGATGATTGTCATTCACACACAACTTTCTCACAACAACTGAGAGCTTTAGATTAAACGCAGGAGTTTGACTCCAGCGCCTCTGCAGATGAAGGCGGTTCATTTGCAGCTTTCCGTTGGCCGTCATTTGATACACAAGGTGGGAAAAGTCTAATAAAACTGTATTCTTTTCCTACATTGAACAGGTAATATTGTGGCAGTAAGTGTGGGGATTAAAGGTCTAAAAGCAAATGCAACGTAGCCACAGACGTACGATACGAGCTCTTTGAGCATTTGGGAGTTTAAAGTATGTTTTAAACTTTCAGGACAGCATTCAATGTACCTAATTAAACGTTTTAATTCATTTAAAGTTCATGATTCCAATCGGTGGCACTCATGATCATTCAAAGTGACTCAATGACGAGATAATAACTATAAATTCAGCATTTGTAGCGGTTCAGCACGACGAAATAGGGGCTTGATTTGCACGAGGTTCTGATTGGCGTTTGTTGCTTCTCCTTTCAGGCAAAGTTTGTGCGTTCATTGACGTGATGTCAGCAGTCATCGCCGCGTGCGGCGGCTCACGCAGAAGAGCACAGTAATAACGAAGGAAGCCGGCCCTGAGCTGCGTGCTACGCGTGCCTATAAGAACACTTATCAGCGCTTCTGGACAAATTACAAAACAAAAGCCTGATTTCAAACGATTATTCCGTTGCGATGAAAAACCTCTCGACTGATTATTTGGCAAATGAGCTTCCACTTATCAATCATTTACGCCCAAATGTTTGCTTCCCCCCCCCCCCCGCAGTGGAGCACACGACCTTTGAGGGATCTCGGAGCCTTGAGAGCGGTAATCGGAGGAGAGACGTACCTGGATCTGTTCAAATGGGACTTCAAAGCTGAAGGACTCGTTGTAGTAAGGGTTCAGGGTGTTCTTCTTGATTGTCGTCTTCTTCTTCTTCAGCCTCTTGCCGTTTTGCATCAGGTGGATCTTCGCATACGGATCTGCGGTGACAAGGACGGGATTCTCTTTAGCACGACTGTGAGATGGCGAGCGAGCGCGAGCAGAAAGTGGCTTAATTACACACACAGCAGCGTCACCGTTCATTCAAAGGCGCGCGCGTGTGTCTCTCTCTCCCCCCCTTCCTGCTTTGATTGCAGCCTCCATCTCCTGAAATCTCTATTTTCCAGCACCGGAACAAGGTCGCGAAGGCGTGCGAATGAATGCACGGCAACGACGCCACTCGAGTGACCTTGCAAAGGCCTGCGGCCTCGTTCTCATCAGTCCCAAGGCTTTCTCTCACTCGCATCCAAGTGGTCTGCTTCAGCCCCCCACCCCCCCCCCCCCCTTGGGGCAATCAGTGTGTGGGGGAATAACAGCTTGGGTCCGTGACGGGACGGCACTCCTCCTGATTTGTTTCCGGCCGGCAAATTGTCATCGAAGATTAATCGGAGAGGCGGAGCTTCGGCCTCTCGGCTCGTGGGAGAAATACAGTATGAGAGGTTTATTTGGGGGCGATTTAATTGACTATTGGATTTGCACAATGAGATCCCGATCAATCCGAGGTGCGGGCAGCCGCAGAATGTAACGACTCGCACATTAATATTCTCACAAGAAGGATATAAAGGATTCAATGATAACTGGGGTTCAAAGAATGAGCAATCTTCTCGTTCTCATGCGGCTGGTTGGGCATTGTTATGTTGGAAAGTGGGGAAGGAACTTTCTCTTAATATTCCTCTGCACACCTCACTCTGATGAGAAGCACATCCGGTTAAATTATCAGTCACGACGGACAGCAAAGGGTCTCTAAACTCTCCCGCTACCATTTCAGATACTCGCTCCCCTTGGACACTCGAAGATGTGTTCAACGGGGAGCGCTGAGGCATTTAAAGGCAAATTGAGAGTAACGGGTTTCGAGTGCGGGTAAATGCGCTGTTCATTTACCTGCTTAAGCCGATTCATCGGAGGAAAGCGGCTTCTTGGCTTCACTGAAACCAACCGAAAGCACATCAACGGCAAACTACTGCTCCGTCGGCGATGTGCTGTGTGTCACACATCTCGTGACCTCATGGCGACCACGCAAGCTATCGGGTGTGTGTGTGTGTGTGGGGGGGGGGGGGACAAACGAAAACAAACAACAACTATCTCAGAGATGCTAACGAGGTAGCCTCGTTAGGCTACCGGTGTTCTGACTGAAGTCAGAGCTTAGAGGGACCGTTTCAGCTTCCTCTGATAATCCGGATTTATCTCGTGCGCACAGACGGCGTTGTGACGGTTCGTGTTCTGCATCGGTTGCGCTGCAGTTGAATAAATGCTTCTTTATAAATGCTTTTTTTTTTTTTCGCTGGAAGAACAGAAAACACTGAACTAGCTCAGCTCCCTTAATCTTTTATCCGATTCAGGGGGGGGGGGGGGGGACCTGAGACGGGCTCCCTGCATGCAGAGACACCAAGCAGATGACGGAGACATGGGAGAAGAGGGCTGCTAACAGGGTGGGCGTCCATCTTTACCCCCCTGCTGAGAACAGCTGGAGAGCTGGGAGGAGATAACAGCTGGATGTCATCCAATCAATGACCTTACATTAAATGTCAGGCTTTTCAGATCTTTTACGTGGAATGTATCTGTACTATGATAAACTCTCCACGAAGAGAATAACTGATCACGACGCAATCGACTATTGCACTGACACTTAAAACATAAGTCGGTAGCTTTTGCTGATTCAAAGCAGCTTGTTGGATCTTCTTCCTGCAGGTCGTCTCCGTCTGAACTCGGCGGCTCTTCCTCTGCTTCATTCAAATGATACCCGGCGCAATCAGACCTCCGTCTCATCTGGTTCACAAAGGTCTAGAGAAAGCCGAGAGACGGCGACGGGGCGATGGAGGTCCATGAAAGGGATTCGTGTGCTTTGGAAAGAAAGGACCATTTCAAATCAGGAATACCGGCTGCGCTCCGTTGCCCCGGCAACGACGGCTGCTGCGCGCTCGGCGCGCGTCACGCATCCTCTGCCGTTGGTAACTGTGCCCGAATAAACAGCCGGATGGGATTATGTAAGATAAAAAGAAAGAGAAAACACACCTGTGGCGCCGCGTCGCTGATACCCAGACGGGCCCTTATCTTCACCACAGTTTGGCTTTATTGAGTTCTGGGAGACTCGCCGTGCCTCATATCCGGCCCCCCCCCCCCCTTTCTACCGCCTTATCGCCGACGGATGTAATCTGTCCCATTTCACGGATGAGCGGCGGCGCCGTGGTGTGATGCGGCGGAGGGACCCGGATCTCGAGGCGCTAACGGCGCTCGCAGCGATTCCACTTACTTATATGCGTCTGTGTTTGGAAGCGGCCGGCTGGGACGCGTTTGCATCGTTTGGATCATTTGGGCCTGCGTGGCTCCGGCAGCGGAGGCCTCGCCGCGTCGGCCCTCCCCCCCCCCGCCCCAAACCTTTGCGTGCGGAGTTGTGCCAAGTGAACACCGAGGCAGGCGCGGTTAAATATAGCCCGCCTGTCATCTCGGCTTTCCCGCCCGTCAGCGTGGATTTGCCGCGGTCGGTGAATCCAGGGGTAACTGTCGGTTTGGCTTTGACGCACTCAACTCAGCGGTGAGCGGCACACACACACACACACACACACACACACGCACACACACACAGACCCGTTTACAGCTCTACCCCGCGGCTCGGAACCCACATGAACAAAACGCTCCCTTGTGCAGCGACGAACCTCTGTTATGTGGAAGCATAGAAATCGTCACGGTAACTCGCCTGCTCCTCGTTACCTACGTCGACGCCGCCAAAAAGGAAAGTGGCATCGATGCAGTGACTTCTGAGACTTCCCCCTCTCGGCCCACGAGGGTCACCGAATGGATATTTGAAAAGTCTGTTTAAGTGGATTTGGACGGATGTTCCATGAGGAGCCAATCAAAGGAATTATTTTTGATTATACATTGGTTAATGATAATACCCACATCTTCCACTGTGAGCCATAATCAGGCACGGTAAACAGGATGACAACAGAGGAGAAGGCTGATCCCAGGCCATCAATTACTTGTCCTCCTCCTTAAACTCTGGCTGAGAAGCCCTGTGGATGGAGGCTAATTATTGTTATTACAGAGCTGCCCATTATTTCATCCATCTGCTACACTTCTAAGTCCCTTCGCTACGCGGAGGAGCAGGCGAGACGAACGGGAATCAAAACACAAACCGCAATTTAGAGTCTATATATTCTGGTTGTGTGTAATTAGACACATGCACTGTGCTCGTACTGTACGCTAATAGACCCACGCAGATAAAAAAAAAAAAAGGATCCAATTAAATGCGACATTGCGTCAAAACCGTCTGGCAGCCATTTGTTTCCTGCCAAATGGCCGTAGCAGAAGCAGCAGGGGGGAGGGGGGGGGGGGTTGTTAAGAATTACTGGTCAAGTCGATTGCATGTCGGTCCAACATGATTATGGCTTTTTTATTGTGCATGATGGATTTTCAAAATAAAGCTTTGTTTTTAGTTTTCTACTTTCTACACTTTTCGGGGAAAAGCAGTGAGAACGTCCAGTCAATCCCATCCCAGGACTAAGCGTAGCGTTGATCGTGATAAATACATGTTTTAGGCGGTATCTCGGCTCTGAGTCGGTGTGTTGTTTGTGCGCTCCAGTCATGGACACGTGGGCGTTTGCATGTGCGAGGATTTTCAACCCTCTGCTGCCCACGGCCAGTGGCACATTCTGTTACCATGACATCAGAGCCCAGCGCATTGTGATGAATGTCATCTATTGATGTCGCAGCAGGAGAAGGTTTCACTCCTTCCTGCAGGTCAGAGGAAAGTAACAAAGTGCTTTCTTGCGATCTAATTCTGATGCGTTTTCGGCCACAACAATCCCCAAATATTTTGGTGATTCACTGTTTTTTTAAATCTTCTTTTTTGTTTATGACTCAAAGGGTGGAAAAAAAATAGTTTTCCCATTTCTTTTCTCCGTTCCCCAAATGCACATTTTGGTGGCTAAAGGCTGAGCCCCTCATCGAAAATCAAGAAACCATTGATGTGTTTGGGTGCTGCAGGCGCAGTCGGCGGGGACGTGCACGCCGCTGTGGCGCTTCTCACCTGACAAGCCTCCCACGTCCATTTTCTTCAGGTTTTTGGCCTCCAGGATGACCACGGTCAGCTTGCCGGCGGTGGGGACGTATCGCAGGGAGAAGCAGATATCGCCCAGCTTCTCTTGCTGTTGGACCACAGGGGAGTTTTAACATCGACTGATGAATCCACATTAACCGCATCACACGCTCACAGCGGACGCTCGCTGCGAATGGCTCGTGACTTCCCCTTCAGAGCACATGGGAAAATGTTCAGTCGACCGAATCTGCTTTTAACGTGCCGGGCGCGTTTATTTGGTTCGGCTCTCCAGACAGAGGAGGATTTCAACTATTGTTAATGAACATTTTAAAGCTAAAAAAATTAAAGATATAAGAGCTTCGTATCGCACTCATCTCTGAGTTGTAGCTGGAACCGCTCCTGAATGTCAGTCTTTCAGCACCCATCCTGACCTGTGCACAAAAATGGTGCCTAAATGCTCTGGCATTGATGTTGTGGGCCATGTTTGAAGGAACCCATATATGCCCCCCCCCCCCCTACCCCCCCCCAACCTCATCCCCCCTCTGTGGGCAACGGTTAACGATGGAGGACCAGTGACCGGCTTCTTTAATATTTTCTGTGAACCGAAAAAGGTCAACTGCTGCCTTTAAGCTTAAAGGGCAATAAATCTCAGCTGAGCCCGCTGCTCTTTGAGGGTCTTCAACTTCTGTGTTTATATATAAAACCAGTGGTTCCCCTCAAACAAAGGAGGGACCCCCACTGACAGGTTGCACATATCTCAGTCACCCTGAACTGAATATTTCATGAAGCGCGGGGAAGTATCAGTATTTCATACGAAAAATGGAAAAGAGCCTGAAAACACAATATTTTCCTGCAGCTGCGATTCCGGGGAGACCTGCAGGTTAAGTGGCCCAGTGCGTCTATGCATTCCCAATTACCATCCCGCTTTTTTATTTGGGCATTAAATCGATAAATGTAACTCAGCTTTGCGTAAGAACGATGCATAATAATAAGAATAGTGATGCCCTTCAGCTCAAACAACATCACCAGCCACTCGGCATTGCTATAATTAACCTTTAAATGGAACCACCGTGATGCTAAAAATGACGTTTCCCTGGCAACATGTGCTATATGCCGTGACATTTACCGTGAAAATTGAATTTCCTGAACTGCTGCCTGGGAAGTCACACTCCTATTAATTGAAGGGGAGGTGTGCACATCTGATTGAGTTTCCAGGAGCGATGGATTACTTTGACCACGGCGCCACGTTGTGAGTTTTGGGACACGACTCGCTTAGCGAACGCGGCGGAAAAAAAAACAATCATTTGGATTTCACTTACGCGAGCGGCGCTTAGAAAACGCTCTGGTTAATGAAAAAACGCCGGCTACCAGATGCAAAAAGTCAGAGTCCTGACAAATGAGGCAGGTGTCAGATGATGATTTCAGACCTTCTGGCCTCACATTTTCTCGGGAACAAATGTGTGTGTGTGTGTGTGTGTGTCTCCGCCTACTCGGCGTTCACAGCTCTCACCTCCTCCTTCTCGGCGCTCAGCAGGTCCCGCCACTCCTCCGTCACGTGGCTGAAGTCCACCTTGTTCATGGGCACCTTGATGTCGCCGATGGCGTCGTGTTTGGAGAAGCGGTCAAAGTCGTACACCGTCATGATCAGAGTCTTCCCGCCGAGCTCCACGTAGGGGACCTGAGGAGGAAAAAAAAGAGACGTTAGTGTTCCTTTAATTGGACGGGTCCAGTTTTAACACTGCTATTTTTCCCGTTTTCCCCAAGTAGTGTAGAAAACGCATGAGTTGACTTTGTTTTGAAATGGATATCGCGTCACATTATTCTCAGCTTAGCAGCAGACACCTGCGCTCTCCACTGTCGGCCGAATAACAAAACTTTCCCCACCGCTGCGCCGCAGCCATGCATGCATTATGGCTGAGCAGAGGCCCCAGCGTAGCGGTGCATCTGCCTGTGTTAATCCCAATCACAGTGAGCCTGTGTGTGTGTGTGTGTGTGTGTGTGTGTGTGTGTGTGGGGGGGTTATTCTGTCAGGAGCTTGTGAATGTGCCAGATGGTTACTGTCTCCACACCTTCCCAGCATTCACGGCTGCATGCAAATCAGACTGTCAGTGGAACCAAAAGATACTCCAGCCACAGAAAAGGGCTTGAAATGAGCACA